GTCTGTGTGTTTCTGTCTCTGTGTATGTATGTATATGTGTGTGTTTGTGTGTGTCTGGGTGTTTGTGTGTGTCTGTGTGTTTCTGTCTCTGTGTATGTATGTATATGTGTGTGTTTGTGTGTGTCTGGGTGTTTGTGTGTGTCTGTGTGTTTCTGTCTCTGTGTATGTATGTATATGTGTGTGTTTGTGTGTGTCTGGGTGTTTGTGTGTGTTTGTGTGTTTCTGTCTCTGTGTATGTATGTATATGTGTGTGTCTGGGTGTTTGTGTCTCTGTGTATGTATGTATATGTGTGTGTCTGTGTGTTTCTGTCTCTGTGTATGTATGTATATGTGTGTGTCTGTGTGTTTCTGTCTCTGTGTATGTATGTATATGTGTGTGTGGGTGTTTGTGTGTGTTTGTGTGTGTGTGGGTGTAACACTGCCTGCCAGTGGAGGCTCCTGTGTGTTTGGTCTTCATGTTTGTTCTCCGTGAATTAAGACTCTGTGTCGGATCCCAGCTTTTACACACTGAGAGAAGTTAAACTTAAACTTGCCTGAACTTTTGTTCGTTTCCATTCCTTTTGATGTCGCCCACATGGTGGCACAGGGTAAAGGCCATAAAACCTGAATCACTGCATCATAATGTCCTTTTATGGTTATACTACAGCAATAACAACACATGAACAGTGTGCATGACCTCCTCAGTGTCATGTGATCATTGCTCCCTGACCAAGAGGGAGCCATGGAACATGTGACTGTATGTATCCAATAGCAGTGAGTCACACATTACTGCTCATATCCAATAACAGTGAGTCTCACATAACTGTATATATAAAACCTGCTATTTACACATTTCTAAGCCATTTTTATATACCTCAGTAATGCTAAATGCCAATAATTATGCAATTATGTTTTTCTCCCAGAAGTGTATGTTTCAGAGAGGGAATACAGGCAACAGGATCGATGGTGGAGTTCAGTTTTATTATTTTCTGAGATAGTACAGAACTCAGCCTTTATAGGGACTCTCCTAATTCAGGTGTCGGGTTTACTTTGACAAAAAGCATTTAGTCTCATCGGCCTACGCCTGGTTTTTATTTTTTATTACCACACAGCCTTAATTACCAGCTTTGAAGGACATTCCACATATGTCAAGCTGTCGGTGTATCATGTTGCTGCTCCCACGATATTATTCTGAGGGTGGGAGGGAGGCCTTGGTTCTTGGAGTATTCCCCCCCTCCCCAACTGCTGTCGAGTTGCTCGCACCCTCACCCCCTCCGTCGGCGTCTCTGCCCTCTGTCCATCAGATCTGTGCCATCGCCTTTGCCTATTCTACTCCGGTTCTGGCGGCCGGGAACGCCGTGAGCTTCAAACCAATCAGGGGTGCCTTCCCCAAAAGCAAAGTTGCTAACTACTTTAGCATCTTCCATAGTTTTAGCCAGTGTTTCCCAACCCAGTCCTCGGGGAACCCCGGACAGTCCACGTTTTTGCTTCCTCCCAGCTCCCAGCCAATCAGGAACACCGAATACCTGGTACAGGCATGCTGAGAGCTGAGAGGAAGCAAAAACGTGGATTGGGAAACACTGGTTTTAGCCATGCAACTGAATGGGTCCAACTATGGCAGTAGCTAACAGGCACTTTTGGGAAACGCACCTCAGAAAAGGACCATGTGAATCTTCTAACACCAAGACACCCTGAGGCACCGAGCGTGAGGGGAAAAGCTGTGGAAGGAAATGAGACAAACCTTCATTCTGTGTGTCTGATTGATGGATCTCATCATCTCACCTCATCAACCCTGTTAACAGAAGACAGAAACGATGAGTTTTGCTTACACAAAAATGTTCTGAGGGCACAAGGAAAAATGATTGGTTCAGATAACCAATCAGATTGTAGAGGGGGTGGGCCAAGCAACTAGAGGAGGTGGGGCCAAGACAAACTGGATTTTAGGCCCTTGCTCAGGGGCCCAATGGTGCAGTCACTCTTCTGACTTCAGCATTTGAGCCAGTGACCTTCTGATCATGGACACGAGTCCCCCCAACCCCCCGCACCCCCCACATACAGTATGAGGACAACATGAACCCTCCACACACTGAGCCATGGCGGAAGAATCAAAGCTGCAGTGCAGGAGGCTACAGTGCTGGGCAATAAACCACCAAAGGTCCCTTTGGGAGGAAAACAGTGCTCACTCTGGTGTTTCCTTAGGGGGGGGTGACATCACCCAACCCCAGCCCTTGAGCAAGCATTCTCCCACGTAACACCTGGATCAGGAAGCTGTCGTGTCCGTCCCGCTGCTGCCACGCTGCCGTCCGCCTGTCTGCTCCCGGGAGTCCAACCTGCTTCGGAGGACAGCTCAACACATCCTGGCATTTCCCCCCACCTCAGAGGGGGCTGCCTCTCCACTAGCTGCTTCCTGTTCAACTCCGCATTTACTGCAGCATTCTCAAAAATTCTGCTCTGAATGGATCCGGCGATCACCCGTGGAGGAGACAGTAGGGATTACCAGTCCCTGGGGCAATTGGGGTTAAGGGCCTGACTCAAGGGCCCAATGGTGGGACCATTCTGCCGACCAGAGGATTCGAACCAGCAACCTTCTGAGTCCCAACCCACAGAGCTGCCCCCTCCAACAATTTTTTTTTTGTTTAATACTTTTTGGTCAGTGCATAATTAGGTATATGTTATTTTACAATTTTTATATCTTTATAATTATTCTAAAATGTCGAGAATAGTACAAATAAACCTTTGTATGGGTAAGCGTTTAGACTTTTGACTGGTATACTATATATATTGCACATTCAATATTTTAATAATCAATAAATACAGCCACCTAGTGGTTTCAAGCTGCTATTTTTATTCTGCTGTGGCTAAACTAGTAAATTAAGACGCCGGAATCGTAACTTAAATCTAGCGAGCGACCGGACTAAGGAAAATAAGTACAAACTAAAATTAAAAATCAAAAAAGGCAGCTTGTGGGAAAAGATGAACGTGTAAAAGTACGTACTCAAAAATCACCGAAGGAGAATTAAAAGTCGTGGCCAAGTCGAAGCAAGACATTCTCCGATGCCCCAGTTGACAGCACGCTGGTTTTCATGCTATTAACAGTGACGTCAATAGTTAAATCATTCAGTATTATCTTTTGATGAGCAGCTATCCAGAAATTACATCAACTGCTATTGACAGCTTGAAATATTAACGATCAAAGGATAATATTAACACATATAAGGTCCCCTGCAACCTTAATTGACAGTTTGTATATTTCCCGTGAAATGTATAGTCCCCAGGGAAGAACTGGGCCCGGCACAACGTCATAAATCCTGGCGGCTCAGCCAGCCCATAACGCTGTTAATCTCAATTAGAAACCTGCCACCCAAGCCACCCACGTGAATGTGCCATCTCCTTCCCGTACGGGTCTGTCTTTCAATTCAAGCCGTTCTCCTTTCCTAGATGGATCAATCGGAAGGTCACTATGCTCTTTACCTGCACATGTCATCAAAATCGCAACAAACTCCTGGAATCATTAACTGAACGCTACACATATACTAAATTTAATTATGCAGCGCTTCCGGTGTAGCAACGGTTTCCAAACTCCTGGGAACTGAATTTAAGAAGCTTGCTGTATTTTGTCATGGCACTCAGGACGTCATGAACTCCAAGACAGGCAATTTTTACACTGCATATTTTACCATGGTATATCCAGTGGTTACAAGGCACACAGGGTGAAATGCCCACAATGCCTTGGAGAAGCTGATCCATAACCAGGCTGATGCTTAAAAGCAGGAAAAGCACGTGGGCATTATGGAGTCGTTGTGCAAATATGAGAATCAAGGATGAGCATATCATAAATGATCACTCAGAGGTGAAGACCGTCTGCACGCCGATGATTTACTTACAGTGGGACTCACTCATGTTGTTTTTCATGCCTTGATCCTTCCCGTATTTTCCTCTAAAATCCCGCACCGACTGAATAACCAACCGTGTCACCGTACCTAGACCTACAGTATATCCCACAGTCCCCGAAAGCACGCGCTGCGCCCAAATACTCCGTATTACACTCACTCACAAAATCACATTTTCATACTTCGACACAGAAGGCGAACAGACGGGAGAATGGGTTGGACAGAATGATCGATGTGATTATGTTCATAGCATGACGTAATTTCACCGAACATCTCATCCCTGCAGTTAAAACAAATATATTCATTTTCATTTCAATTCACGCGTGCGGCTTAACCAACCCATTCATATTATAGCCTACACCAGGTTATACAAGTAAAATAATGCAGGTGGACTTTGACTTAATAACTGTTTTGTTGATTCCCAGAAAAGTGACGGCAGATCAGCACCAATATGTCCTTCCTCTGAACTGTGCTTGCAGTCCTTTTCTGTCGATCCCTCAAAAATAATAAAATGAAAAAGAAAAAGAAAACAGACGTAGACGAGCTACTTCAGGATATTCACGGTCGCCGTCGGATCTAATGGAAAGTGGTTGTTTAAGGAGCTGATGCTTTACGGTGCGCTACAACCGAGGTTTAAAAAGTTACTGTCCATGTTCTGAGGCTGCAGCACTTTCACGTAGAAAACCGCGTCCTCTTCCTCATACAGACACAAGCACAGGCTTTTATCTTCCTCAAAATAAAAGCCAAACTAAAGGTTTTGCACTTTCTCCTTACTCCTTCCATCTTCGACGGTAGAAACCAATAGACACATAGGCTATGGCTGTTAAGATCAAGATGCTCAAATGATGTTAAACAATACATATTTTCCACACAAATCACCGGCAGCAACAGCCATTTACATACTCATCCAGGTTAGACTAAACTCGTATGGCACATAAACAACAAAGTGAACAAAAAATATTCATAAAGACGACAGCATCTTATTAAAATGATATGAATAAAGATTTATTTTTATATGAACAGGTGGTTTGATTTTTATTGTATTTTACAAGTTTCTATGACAATCTCGCAAAATTTTCTAGCATATTCCAAGAATGGAAATGGAAAAGGATTTATTGCTGAATGTTAAATGAAATACACTTTGACGGACTGGAAAACTTCTCAGTTGCTGCTGTTGACCATGCACCCATCCTACCTGGGCCACGAGGACATGCAGAAGGGAGGCGCTCAGAAGCTCAAGCGAGCAGAAAGATAAACAAAGTAGGAAGAAACGGGTTGGACATAACGGTAAGAAATACTAACGGGGCAATTTCACATTTAAACTAACTAGAGAAGCACTGCCTTCATTTGCATCGCCTAAATATACAGAATAAGACCCGATACCCTGAACGAACAAACAGAAAAACAAAACCAAGTGGAATTTGAGCAGTGAAATAAAACACATTTCAGTCTAGGAATTATACCATTGTGCCTTTTGATAAAGCAATAAGTATTCATTTAATGATCTAGGTTCTTTTGGATACATTAAGTGTCATTTTTGTAACTGTTTTGTTTGAAAACAGGTATGATATGTTTTTTTACTTACCATTATAAATCGCCTTTAAAGGTATTATATAAAACAACATAATGCCAAGAATCGCTCCTCCTTTAATTTCGATGCGCCCGAAATCATCTTGTCACTATATCCCTGTCTTTTTTTTTTTTGGAGACGGATAGATAATCACGGTAAGCCGGTTGAAACCACTACGCTTTTTCACTGACAACCACTGAAAACAACTGATAAGTGTGAAACGGACGAAGCGGCTGTTGAGATGAGCGACTGACGCTCGCTGATCACCGACAGAAGATGACGCGCGCCAGGTCAACCCGATAGCGGGATTGTGGGAGTAAATGTCGGTGGTGCTGGAAGATGTGAAACGTATTCCTTTATGCAGAAAAGGCAATCCATGTCTGCATAATTAAATTTAAGAAGATTGTATCAAGTATGTATCAAAACTCAGCCTCTCGCAATAATAATAATAATAATAATAATAATAATAATAAATGTTCCAGTATTCATGGAGTGATTTGGTTGTCTCATGTAACCGGGGACAATTGCAAACACACTTGCAGACATTACTTTGCCACAATGGACTATTGTCGTCACACTCTGTAGAAAATGATGTCATCAAACAGACCTAAATACAAGGTTTGCATATTTTGGCATTTTGACAGACTCACAGCTATGTTCTTCTGTGTGTTTCTCTCTCTCTCTGTATGTATGTGTGTCTGGGTGGGGG